AAGCCAGCTCTCCGGCAGCCAAACCCGGCTTCCGTGGCACTCTTGCGCTTATTGGAGGCTGGTTTTATAAAATGCCTGGAGTCTTTTCTGCACAATAGCCTGCTACTTCTCTTTCCAGTCAGAACATTATATCAACTCTGAGAGCCCAATCCAATGCCCAGTGATGTCAATGAAGGTTGCAGCTACCCAGTGCTTTTGAAAATCATGCCTTTCTTATGTCAGTGCCTAGCCAGAGATTTAGGAACCTCCCGTTAGGCACTTAGGTTTGAGAATTTTGGCTGGAATATTTTGAGAGGTAAAATAATAGTGGTTTATATTTTTACTTAGATGCGCTGCTGGTACGTGCTCATACACTATGTCAAGGTGTGTGCTAAAAACCCCTGTATAGTAACTCCTATGTCACATTTCATCTAAGGAGCTCAAAGCACACATGAATTAAGCTTCATAATATATAGGTGGGGCAGATCTATTATTCTCATTTAACACTAGGGGAAACTGAGGCACGGGGCAGTTAAATGACTTCCCTGAGGTCACACAGGGAGACAGTTGCAACATCAGGAAGAGACCCCTGTTATCCTTTCATCCAACCCCCCATTTCTAACCACTAGCTTCTTCTCCCTCTTGGGGTCTAATCTAGTTTTGCTGTGATGGTTCCACCAAGGACCCTCTTGCAGTGCTATATAATAGGAAGGCAGGGGTACTTTTTGCTGTATAAATGAGGCCCAAACCTCTGTGCATGTTGGAGGAGGCAGGAGAATACCTCCCTTTGTTAACATACCTCCTGCTCTCCTTTCTTTTCCAGAAAAACAACAGGTCCGATTCACCTCTCATTAATACCAGGTTCAGAACTGTGATAACTCCGCTGACATCCATGGAGCTGTTATTCCTTATTTGCCCTGGTGTAAGTGAGAGGAAAATCAGGCCCTATGTCTCCCAGTCTTTCAAAGAGTTAACTTGTCATTCACATATTTCATTTCTGTTTTACATAATACTTTGGCTTGCAGAACTAAGCAGAAAGATGCAACCTTGCCCTCTTCTCCAGCTGGCAGGAACCTTCTCGGATGTTGTTCGAAACCATAGGATGCCTTACTAATGTTGTTGTAAACCATAGGAAACCTTACGAATGACCCTATTTTAGCAGAATGCAGGCCAAGACATACACACTCCTTAGGAGAATAAAATTAAGGGTAGGATAGGGACATTGATGAAAGCTCTCAGCAGCATGCTCGCCAAGGAGATCATTCAGCCCTATCTAGAGAAAAGAGGGGCCACCTTAAATGGGATCATGTCAGCTTCACCACAAAAAAGTGAGAGCACAATATAGACTTGGGGAAGTATTGTTGTAACAGATTAAGGACCCACTCTGGCTCCCATGAAAAGCAATGGGAAGATTCCCATTAACTTCCATGGCAGATAGATCAGGCCTTATAGGTCCGATCCAGCTAGGTGCTGAGCACCTCCTGTGAGTTGCTAAATGCCCACAACTCCCACTGAAGTCAGTGAGCATCCGCAGCAATCAGGCCTGTGCTCCTTAGAAGGGCCACATCTATGGTATTTCTAAATAAGAGAACAACTGGCATTTTACTACAATGTGTAATGCTCAGTGAACCAAACAGGACAGATTTAATAGGTGCTGTTAGGTGGGAAAAGGAGCCACCTTTTTCCTGTCCACACCTTTGCTATTTCTCGTGAAGGGGATGGCAGGATCAGCAAGCTGGAGCCACTGAGTTCCCGTGTTACAAAACACGAATGCTTACATAACAGCAAGGAGATCACTGTAGTCATTAACCTCGGCTCAGTGCCAGTTGCTTTGTTCTGAAGTCACCTGCTTGTTTGGTTTAAATGTCTAAGTGGTATGTTAGAAAAGGAGAAACTGTTCCAACCTCCTCCTACCATTTACCCTGTAGATCAGGAAATCCCAGGGGAAGGAAGCAGAGAGACTGCAACAATCCTTGGTGTGCGACAGTCCCCACAGTAATGAGAAAAAAATATACACAAATACTGACATCCTCCCAGAAGGGTCAGTTCTGCTACCCTTAATCACGAGTCAGCCCATTGAAGCTAGTGGATTGACGCACATGGATATTGACCACTCCAAATCAGAGCCTGAGACCAGGCCTGATTCTCCCATCACATGGGTGTAAATTGGGAGTAATTCCGCTGAAGCAAATGGAGTTACACTGATATAAAACTGAAGTAAGTAACAGGAGAGCCAGACCCAGTGAGTGTGGCCTGGCTAAGTAGTGAGCCAGGAAATCAGGAGCTTGGCAAACTGGTTCTCTTTCTCTCGTGGGCATCTTTTCCCATTGTAATAATTATCAATACAACCTGACTTTATCTAGTGCCCTGTTCTGACCTTCTCTTATCTGATATCCCGCCCTTAAGTTCTGTTACTCTTTGTCTTCTGTAATCTAATGTGTGTTATCTACATGTGGTCCGCTCCAGTGGGTAGAGCAGAGGACTAAGTTTCATGACTTCTTATTTCTATTCCCAGCTCTACCTCAGCCTTGCTGTGTGATCTTGGACAAATCACTAAACCATTCTAAGCTTCCATTTAGTCAAAGGTAAACTAGATATATGTCAAGCATGTTAATGTCAACATCCCTTTATTATTATGCCTATGCCACACCTGCATTTGGCTTCATCAGACTTTATTTCTTACCTTCTATCATTTAATATATTTTTTTCCACTGAACTCTGAAGAAATTAAGATGACAGCAACCAAAAATGGCCATTAAAATATTTTAGAGAAACATACAAACCTTGGGATCATGATCATCATCTTATAGATTTATGTTAGGGTCAATATGTCATTTATTTATATTTCTAGACTGCAACTACAGATGGCTGAAGTCAATAGGAATTAAGCATGTTCATAAAGATAAGGTGTTTCAGTGTTTTGCTGAAAAGACATGCTTTATTGAATAAGGAACATAGCTAAGGTGTCTCCAGTTATGGTCCCAATCGACGTAAGAACGTAAGCATATGTTTAAATTCAAGCCTATAGGTAGTCCTATTATCATCAACTCAGGAATCCAAAGTTAAATATTGCATAAATGCGTTACTGGATCAGGGCCTATGTCCACAATAGGTGGATGTATGCAAGTAAGTCTATGTAAAATTCAAAAAGTTCATTTGGAATTTTCAAAAATTGTCCAATTTTCATGACAATCCCCTGAAACATTATAAACTTTCACTCAACAATGGCACGACTTGCACCCCGTAAATGGCCCTATTTTTGAGCAAAAATTTCAAAGTTTTCAAATTTCTTTTGGAACGATATCAGTTTGCCTAACAATCAGGCATACACATTTCTTAATGCATACACTTTTTTTTTGAAATGTGAAAATGCCATTTCATGGAAAACAAAATATTCTAGGTTGCAACAGGACCCAGACTCGGGTTAAAAAAATGTTCACTTTTGCTCTGTTCTAATAGTAGGTTTTTTTTAATAACTCCAGTTCTGCTTTAAACACCTTCTACTGCAGAGGCATAAGAATTTCTGCCTCCAGTTCATTTTAGAGTAGATTGCAAAGTTATATTCATATCAGAGCTACAAGGAAGATGGGGTTGAGATTGTTGTGTTTGTTAATGTAAAGTAACTGGTTTAATATATAACATCTGTAAAGAGAGTGGATGGGAGGGGGGAATGTTTACTATTCAACCATGCAACCAGCAGTCTAGTGCTTTTAGGACTATGATCTTCCCACATTTTATGAGTTAACAACACACAGTGGTGACCGAAACCTGGTTTGACGCATTCCTGAGCTTTGTTGTTGGTCATGCAAGGATTCTGTAAGACCACCATCAAAGTTATAGAAAGACTTGAGTCATATGTCAGTATCTTTTGGTGGAGTAACCTGTGAGTCAGGAAAATAACATACACTGTCCCTAAGTGCTAGTTAGTCTGGTTTTGGACATTACCTGGGCTATGTTTCTGGACTATGTGAACCAGTGGTCTGACCCAGTATAGCAGTTCCTGCATAGATGCAGACACAATGCTGACAGGAAATACATCATTGAGTTCCTCCTCAAATGGTGAAAAGACAGACAGGCTCCAGGCAGTACAGGTGTCCTCTGTGCAGAGCGTGAGAGGAGCATATTTTATGCCCCAATTCTGTGAAAGAGGAGTAGAAAGCAGGACAGAATTTGTCCTCCTCCCCAGACGCACGGAGGGCTTTCAGATCTCATGTACCATTCTGTTGAATATAAGGCTTTCACAAGAAAATCAAACCAACGTGAATTAGCAATTAAATCTGTGTTATGTCATACAGGATCTTCCTACTGGCTGCTTAATTTCACAATCTAGCCCTATGACTATTATTACTAATAATAATCCCTTCTCTTCTTTAGCACCTTTCATCTTAGCATCTTATAAACATAATTAAACCCCTGCAATATTTCTGTGGTGTATCATTATGCCCATTTTATAGATGAGGAAACTGAGGCATAGAGTGGTTCAGTACTTTGCCCTGGGTCACGCAGCGAGCTTTTGACAGAGCCATGGCTAGAACCCTGCAGCCCTGAGTCCTCATTCTACACACTAACCACTAGACCCCCACTGCCTTCAGCCCTGTTAGCTTTTCATTCGTTAACCACATTTGCACTGCAAATATGTTCCATGGCAGTCAGATACCAAAGAGGGCACCACAGTGACTGACAGGCATGGCATGAAAACTTAAATAGAATAGAAGGGGGAACAGAAACGTCTCAGGACCCCCAATAATTTCTGAGCTCTGGTCCCTGCTGAATATTGGTCCTATGCCTGTCACATGAAGCAGAGCAAACATCACTACAGTTAACTTTGGGCCTATCAGGATCACAAAAGCTTCTGAAGTTCACTGTGGACCAACTCCAGCCTCACCCTTTCACCCCATACCTAAGAAGTTATGTCCAGGTGAAACAAAACTCAAGAACTAATTTCTTCTCTCAAACATGATTGGGGGAAAAAAATCATTTCAAAAGGGATTTAAAATTTCCATTTTCATTTTATTGTCAAAGTAAATATATTTTATGAAGAACAAAAGAAAATATACAGAATTGTAACTTATGTACACTGGCATTATAGATATTTTTGTTTCCAATTTACACAAATTTTGATATGTTATTAAAAGATATTTTATATAGATATGCATCTATGTACAGTTTTATTTACATACATTCATAGGATGTGAGATAAACCAGTCAACAAAAGATAGTTCATTTATATTAATTTCTAGAGGGCAAAAGGAATGCATTCCTAAAATAAGGTAGTTTTAGCTCTACTGTTCTTACATACAGTATGTTCTCCACTCCTACCTACTAATGTGAGAATTGCAGTGTTTTATTTCCCATTTGGCTGACAAGAAGACAGGCAGATGCCATCTGTGAGTGGAAAGGAAATGCAATATCCTTTATATATCATCTCTGATTTTTGAATTCTACTGTATTCTAAAGAGTCCTACAATTCGCAGAGTTAAAAAATAAAAACAAAAAAAGAAACACAAACATAATATTGTTATGATAACGTCTGATTATTGTTTAAAATTCCCTTCTTAGCCACTTAGGTAGCGACCATATGTACTTGTTTCTACTGTTCCCACCCATTCACTCACCCCAGCTGTGTGGCACTCTGACATGGCTGTTAATAATAAAATAATGCTTTGCACTTAAAGATCCCTGTCAGCTAAGGCTCTCAAAGTGCTTTTACAAACATTAATTACGCCTCACAATCTCTCCTGGGCGGGATATAAGTATTATTATCCTGATTGTACAGATGGGGGAACCAAGCTATGAAGAGATTCAGGGCCCAAGCCTGCAGGCATCTGCTGAAGTCAGGGGGAGTTAAAGATGCCCACCCAGCACCTTTCAGGATTGGTGCTTGCCCAGTGTCACACCGTGAGACAACAGCAGAGCCAGGGATAGAAACTAGGAGTCCTGACATCCAGGCTCCCCTGCTCTAACCACTAGACAACACTCCTGATAATGAAGAGGACAGTTTCAGCCAGAGCCAAGGTGTAATCACTGGTTCCTTAAATATGTGGGCATCTCCCCCACGCTCAACACATTGACCACGTAAGATGGAAGGCATGCAGGCAGTTTACACGGATCCATAATGAAAGGCCTTCATTCCAGCCCATTGAATCTGGGCCGAGCGTTTGGGTTTTTTGTTTTAAGGACATTGTCAGATCCAGTTTCCGGGTGCACGAGATTTGCTGACCAAGTTATGAACGGCAAGGACCACTGAAGGATGGTGTGTTGGAGAAATCAGAGGCCCAAATTCCAATCCCACTACTCCCCATCTCTCAACTGTTCCTCCTCCTCCTCCTTTTGCCTACCCCCCCAAATCCTTGGCTCAGGCGACTCAAAAACAAAGGAGCTGTTTTCATTTCAAAAGGAATTTACTGTTTCCAAACTGGACAAATAGACCAGCTTAATAAAAACTCACAATGAATGGCTCTGTACATGAGCAAAGCCCTCAGGAATGCCAGGACTATAATTAACTAGCAGCAAGTAGCCCATAAATTTGCCTTGTGCAGCAGAAAACAGCTAAAAATAAAACACTGTAATTTCCAAAAAGAAGCAGCAGCAAAGGGAAAGATAGAAGGAAAGGAAAATAAAATAAAATAATAATATTAATAAAAAACCCACCCCACCCTCCCCCAAAAGAACTTCGTTCTCAAATCATGTTGGCAGGACACAAAACATTCAGAGGTGGTAGTGTGAAGTAACAGCGCTGACCGTTCTATGGAGACAAATAAATTATCACAAGAAATATAGTGAGCAAAGTGCTGTTGTCGGCTGTTCCAGGACGGACAGGTGGCAAGGGGTAGGTGGGACCAATCAGTTCACGGAGCGCACAGAGCGGTTGCTTCTAGGGAACCGGTGCACCTTCACGTGTTTGGATAAGTGGTCACTTCGAGCAAATTTCTTCTCGCAGACAGGACACTGGTAAGGTTTCACTCCAGAGTGGGAGCGTCTGTGCCGGGAGAGCTCATCTGATCTGGAGAACCTGCAAGCAGAGGTTTAGAAAAGAAAACCCTCTTCAGATTTTTGCTGCTAATTCTTTTATGCCATTGCTACTTTTCCATGGCCCATGCTGCATGCATGGAACTTCATGGCAGCATCAGGGATAGAACTCAAGTCCTCCTGCTGCAGAAGCCCAAACACTTAAGCTAAAAGAGAATATGTCAGCAGTATAAGGCCCATGACATACAGTCGAGCAGTTCTCATTCTATCCAGCAGAGGACAGCAGTAACACACTACACTTCATTGCATCATTCTTTGGGGCTCATGCAAATTAGAACGGATAGCAATGACAGGAGACAGGCCCTAAAGGAGTTACCGGTGTATAAGCTTTACCCTAACCCCTGACTACACATACACACAACCTGGCTAATGCATCATCACTCCTGACCTGCAGCAAGCACCCCGTGCTATTCCAATCCCAAACCCCACAAAGCTCTGCCAATGCACATCAATTCTAACCCACAGCATCTTCCTTAAACTCCAGTTCTGGGCCTCTCCTGTGCAGAGACCACCACCGATGCTCCAAAGCTAAGGCTTCTGCCAGTCTCACCTTGGCATGCTCAGAATGATGGAGGAACGGCAATATCCTCAATCACAACGAGATTGTGAGACCGTGGCCAGATACTATGTGAGGGACTACCCAGGCAGAGTCAGCCATGCTTACTCTGAAGCCACTCGGCTTATTGAATTGACCTAAGAAAAGAAGAAACTTTTCTCCCAAAGGATTAAATAAAGGGCTATTAATGTCAATTCCGGCTCACGGTTATACTGGAGTAAATCCCAGGATGACTCTATTGACTACATTGCAGCTACTCTGGATCTGCACTGGTACAAATGGAGATAAGGATTTGGCCCTAGGTTACCAAAATTAGATTCCCCAATATCGTTTTATTTTTAGACACCTCCCACCCACAACAGCCAAGGAATAGTCGCCAAATAGCCATCGTGAATCTCGGAGGCCCATTTTAAACTCAGATAAACCAGCTAATCCTTGGGACCGAGCGGCTGGGTTGGTGCTATTTCTAGCCTAGACCAGTGCTGGGAGCCCAAGTGTTAACAATGTCATGCTAAGACAGTTCCCTCTGGATGCACGCAGAGCTGCTGTCCAACAAAGGGTGATGAATGTGAGTTGCCAGAACACTAACAGAGAGTGGCATAGAAAAAGAACTCTCAAGAAACCATACCAGCTGTTTATTTACAATAAATACATGAAGTCATGAGTGTTTGCTGAATAAATAGGGGAAAGGACATGTGGGAAAATGTGCATTTGTGGAACAAAACCAACACAATACCACTTGTGTAAATATACTATTTTTCTGGAGGGGAAATAAAGAGCACCATTTCAGGTGGAAAGAGACTTTACAGCTCACACTCTAAATTCTTCATGTAAGAAAATACAAACTAATTGCAGCTAGAGATGATCCCATGCTACCAGTTGATAGTCAGGATCCAAACTTTGCTAAAGTTTGGTGTGTTTGGATTTAGGATTTTTTTTTTATTCTAAGCTTTTATTTCACTGTCCACTACAGAGAGAGTGGATAGTTCAGATTTTGATACAGCTCCAAACTTTCCCAAAATTCTTGAGTGTCGTGATTCCGGGCTGAATTTGGGCCCATCTGCACCTGTGAACACTTCTCTCTCTAACACTGCTAGCCCTTTCCAGCAGTGGGTACCCAGCCATGACCAGAGTCTGGAACACTGACATGACCAAGAACTGTTTGTGAAACTCCTCCATTGGGCTGGCCCTGATGCAGTGTCCTTAAAGGAATTATCTTTAAGAACCATGAGATCATAGGACTCTGAGAAACTTTTCAGAGCAACTCAACAGGAGAGAAAGGGAAGGGCAGCATACACTATACAGAACTTTGCAGACTGAGAGCTGCTAGGACCTCACCAACATATCATAGTGGCAAGTTGACAGACATGGGATCAGACATGTTGGACAAGGAACTGATTTGTTTGCCAGGAAAGGTAGTCACTTTCTCAGGTGGAAGAGAAATCTACCTCAGGAGAGAGGTCCTTGAGAGACAAACACAGAGCAATCCTCATGGCAGAGGCAGGAGCCGGAAGATGCAGGGCTGCCTCATCCAGGTCTCTGTGTTGTCAGTATCATTATAAAACACAAGGAAAAGTGGGATGGAGGGACCTGAAACAAGCTCAGAGCAAGATAACTGCAATGGGTCCCTGGCAATTGCACCAAGGGAGAGGGGAGGGAGTCATATGTCAGAGATGTGTGTGTTATGTGAGCCATGGACGCTACTGTGAGTTAATATGATAAAAATACACTTAACCTCATAACGACGCCCTTAGCTGAAGAAGTAAGAATGTTGCAATGCTGTTACCCAGCATTCCTGGAAAGATCACCTTACCAGGCCCCACAGAAATAAACCCCCCTCTCTCTCCCTGTGTTTACAAAAAAAAAAAACCCAAAAGTTAGAACAGGAAAGCTGCTAGAATTCTATTGCCTGCGATATTCAGAGATCAGGCTAAATGACGATAAAGGTCCTGTCTCGCCTTACAGTCTAAAAAAATTGATGGAATTCCAAATTCAAACAGGTAGCAAATGAAAAAGAGGCCCCACTTACAAATAAGCAGCCCAAATTTTATGATCCCAGCACCTACGAAATGACAGCTCCTCCGAAATAAAGACAGACTGTTTGGAAATCTCACACAAACAGAAGGAGCCAAATTCACCCCTCTTGTAATTCCACTGCAATTGATGGAGATGGGCCAAGGATGAATGTAGCCCTGTAAGTGCAGAATGACACTGAATTTGTTGCCTTCCTTCCACTATACCTGCTGGCTTCAGTCAGGAAACTGAATCATGCTATTTAGACAGACTATCAGCTTCTGCTCAAGGGAGACCTATCTTGTAAGGGAGTGATTGCATCTTGTTAGAATTCTCACTTCGGGAACAGGTGAAAGTATTTTCCACCTGAGGGATTTATTTCAAAGGCAAGGCTGCCAGGGACTTGGGAGGGTGCCTGTCGGCCCTTCACAGTTTCCCTCTAAATTCAGAAATAAAGTAGCCTCCCAAAGAGAAAGGAGATTCAGAGAGCACAATTATTGCAGCTCCTGAGAGCTGAAGTGCACTTTCTGGGCATTCGCAAAAAGAAAAGGAGTACTTGTGGCACCTTAGAGGCTAACCAATTTATTTGAGCATGAGCTTTCGTGAGCTACAGCTCACTTCATCAGATGCTCACGAAAGCTCATGCTCAAATAAATTGGTTAGTCTCTAAGGTGCCACAAGTACTCCTTTTCTTTTTGCGAATACAGACTAACACAGCTGTTACTCTGAAACCTTTCTGGGCATTGGAGCAGGAGCGGTGGGGGGTGCAAGAATGTAAATAACAGAGGAGGGTACAAAGCAGAATATTGCTCCAACAAATAACAATCATACGAGGACTAAAAATATCCAGTCGCGCTGAGTTATAGACTCATAGACTTTAAGGTCAGAAGGGACCATCATGATCATTTAGTCTGACCTCCTGCACATTCCAGTTCCATCAGTTAACTAGAAGTTTCATAATAAAGTAGCTCCTTTCTGTTGCCTTTTAAATGTCACTATGTGCCCTCGCTCTTCTTCGTCTTGTATTGTAGGAAAGGGAGCATCCAACTAGCCCTTTCTGTACCACTCCTATGACACAGGGAGGGGCAGTGCCCACAATGTGGCCACAATCCCGAGAGCTACAATAAAGAACAATAATGGCATCATATAGTGACCCCAAGATCCAAACACAGGGGCTCCTCAGGCACATCTCCCCCTTCCCGTGCAGAAGAAAGGCTCAACCATTTCCACAGCACCTTTCCCCATCCTCAAGACCCTGCAGAAGCCTCTATGCCATTCTGGAGATGCCAGCTAGGGCAGACGGTAGAGATTGGGCAAGTTTGAGGGAGGAGGGGCTGGAATATGGTAGAGGGATGGGGAAACAACACATTGTATGAGGGCCAGAGCAGAAGCACAGGGTCTCTGTGTGGATGCCCCAGGCCTCGCAGGTGTCCCTGGGGATCCAAGAAGCTTGGGCTCGAGCCTTGTGGCCTTTTAAGTTAGAAGGAAAAGCCTCCTACCTAACAGGACGTTGTGAGGGATCTATCTCGGCGAGGGAATCCCCACAGGGATCTCTCCCCCTCCCCCCGACACCTCCTGCTTGAGTTACGGCATCTGGACTTTCCTTATGTCCTGTAACGCACTGTGTGCTCAGGAAATACACAGCCTCACACAGTAAGCTTCCTTTAACACAGCCACATCTTTATGCAGTGTAGAGGGGTCTCAGTGTAAATGAGAATCAGCCCCAAGAATCTTATTCACATTTTTGGGCCATTGTGGTGCCCTGAGCAGGCAACTCCAGCAACTTGCCTATACTCTATCATTGCCAAGATCATCATCTTGAGAAGTTACAACTAACTCAGATTCATCAGCATGGTTTACCAGCCATTTAAACTGTTCCTTCGAAAGTGCAGTAGCTTGCATCTGTCTTCACCAAATTTCCTACATAAGATACTGAAGTTCAGGTGTGAGTTTCATGGTTTTGCCCTTCTCAGAAGCGGCAGGCATTAGCCACTGACCTAGATGAACGTAATGTGTAGCCTGGTCTGACACGGATCAATGCTCTGACTGGTACAACAGGATACTGGACTAAATGGGTCACTGGCAGTTTCTGTACTCTGCTGTTTGCATATTGCTTAAGACTGAAAAGAGCAGCTCTCGCGTTCTGTGATGGAGGGGCAAAAGTTGGTAGTGGTCAGCATTCAGAAAGGAACTTGGGAATCCCATGCTGTATGAGGCTTGCAAAAGTTTAACCTTTCCCATCACTTTGCTTTGCTACACTTAAAGATGACATACGGTTGGTTGGGAGTTTGTTTTAGTTTAGCTGTTCTGTCCATACAGGAAGAAGGAAAAGCTTTTACACAGACACCCCCCTTGTAGCTAAACACTATGACTCAAATGATACCAAGCAGCATTTTTCTAAATTGCTATTTTCCATGAACTCAGATTTTAAGTTCATTTTGCTGAAAAAGAAATACACCATACACACGCAGAGAAGAAAGGAAAAGAACGTGGAAGAAACCAGCAGCAGAATTTCAGTGCATAAATTCATTTGGGATGATATAAAACTGAGAACAGACTCCAGATGTACTTGACTTAGTCATGTGAGCTCACAGCTCTCCCTGAACTTCTGGAAAAGGTAAACATGCTTTACTGATGAAAGGAGACTGTGTAATTCTGTGCTCACTGCTCTGGCTATGGTATGTCACTGCAGATCTGACTTTGATGTCTGAGAAGAACACATGGGAGTGCTGGAATCTCAAGCTTGTTCTAAGAGATTTGTGATAGAGGGAAACAGCCCCTTTGAAAGTCTGCCCCCTCCTTGGTCTATGTTAGTGATGGGCCCCAGCTGAAAAATTTCAAACTGGGATCAGAACTCATCCAAAGTTATGGGGCATTTGAATCCGGGGTTCTGGCTTATGCTCTCAGTTATCCTAAGTGCAAAGATGCAACCACAATGAGGGGTTTGGAAAAACATCCAACAGCCAGAAACAAGCCTTTTTTGTATGGAAGTTATTTAATCCCTAGGCTCTACTGGACTTCTGCCCATAAAGAACTATGGCTGTCCAAGCATTTGGCTCTTTAAATTACAGGTTCTAGATGTACTCACCATCTGGATCGGTACTTCTCTTTACATGCCTCTTGGCATTTTTGCTACGCACCGTTCACACTAGACTTCAACCCTTGTGAGGTTGTGGACATACAGAGGCTACACTCATCCTTGGTGTCACTTCATGGGAGGCACCCCAGGGAACATTAGTCTATATTGCTGCTTATGCATTCCTAATCATTCACCTTTGACTGACATTCTGGACAATACCAGTGTTCTCATAAGATACATCCACAGAAGATCATCCACAAAAGAACAATTCACAGACTCCTGAGGTCTGATCTTGCACTGCTGAAATCAATGCGGAATCAGATAGAGACACAATCAGAGCCCCGGCAAGTCATCTTCTGACCTCAAATATGCCTGGGTCAGGACCATTGTCACTAGTGGTTAGCTGAATATCGCAAATCAATTTCCCACAAACATTCATTCAGCTTTTTAAAGGAATTAAACTTTGGCCAAATTTCAACCCTTTGTTTTGTTCCCCTTCCACAAAAATTTGGACAATCAAGTTTCACCAGCATCATGGCTCATGGAAAGCAAGCGTTACGTTTGCACAGATACTAGCAGAAAAAAAATCTTAAATATGCTCCTTGCAAGCATTGACTCTGAAAGTCAAATAGAAAGGACGATGCTCTGCCAATGAGGGCATGGGAAAATGCCATGTGATTTATGTGACCAATCACAACTGAGAGACACAGTCGAATTTCAGTTCATTTGAATCACAAGGTTGGAAGTAAACAAAGCTTGTGAAAAATTTCATTGGTAGCAAATCAATGAAGGAAAATTGCAATCTGCTCATGGAGCCTCCATGAATGAGAAAAGGGAGGAAACTGATCACAGGAAGTATTAGCTACAGATGATCCACTCAGCCCTAGTGGCAATGGGGAAAGCTCAGTGTATCAGTTAGAGGAAAGGGACAAGATTCAGACTAGTTCCGACTTTTTCCTTTCAAACAAATTCATCCATCCCTAGTGGTCCTATATCTCACACACCTGCAATTTTATTCATGTCTCTCCTCTTATCTCTTCAGTTCACAATGAGTGTGACCCATTTCCTAACCACACATTGCTCACCAAAGCACTACAGGATGTTTTTCCTTTTGCCAAGTCTTTCGAATCATTTTGGTATAATTTAACAGGTGGTATTTGAGATGATGTTTGGTTTTCATCAAAGTGTATGAAGTTTCATTGCTCGGTTAAGAAACTGGCTGGGTTCCAGAGCAGATTGAAAAATGGAGGAGAAGGGGTTTCCATGGGAAATTTCAACTTTTTAATCACAAAAGAAATATTTGTCAGTTTCCAGTTTTCCAACAAATAATCAAAAATTTTGAGGAAAGCTAAAGCTAAAGTAAATTTTTACTTATTCAAAAACTCAATTTTCCATTGAAGAAAAGTTTTGACAGAAAATTTTTAACCACCCCTTCTGATTGTTTTCACCGATTACTTTTGAAATGTACAACACTCAGGGGCACATCTGGATGAGCACTAATATACATTTCTAAACCAGAACATAAAATAAACACAGATTAAATTGGAGTAGCATACCCTATGATGAGACAGCATTCCCAAGCTAGTATTTTATTCTGGAAATTACAAAATTGCTTATAATGTTTTAAAATTTTATTAGGGTTTTATTAAGCATATATGTCATTCATAGCCCTTCACTGATTGTATTTGACCTCCATGTAGTTGAATCTCCAAATGCATATAATCATGTAGTACTAGTAATGAAGTGACTGTGCTCCAATGACCCAATTTGCTTTGTGTGTCCTAGTTTGCATCAATGGTACATTGGAGATAGTATGCTGCAATGGGACCAATGAATATACAAAGCAATATCTGCAGGAGCAAGTCTAATCTGGCCATTATGAAATGAAATACCAGTCACTGGGGTATTTTTTTAGACTTTTGTACAGTGAACGTCAACAGTAATGTTCTGCTATTCAACACACCAAAGTCCCTAACATTAAGAAAAGTGGTTTTAATTTTAAAACCAACCAAACAGGTTTCAGAGAACAGCAAAACTGTTTATAAACGAACTTGGTTCAAACCTGTTTGGCTGGCATATTATGTCAAGTGAATGATATGTTTATTGGATACGGAGTACTACTGCATCACAGTACTGACCTCCATCCACAACCGGGCCACGTGCATGCAAAAGGTTTTTCTCCTGTGTGTCTCCTCAGGTGTGCTTTCAAATGGCTGCTTTTAGTGTACATCTTGGTACAGCCAGGGAAAGAACATTTGTGCATTTTAATGAGTTCTGCCGCAGGGTTCTTTTGAAATTTCTGGCCCACGATGATCCCCGTTTGACCCTGGATCATGCCTCCTGGCCCAATAGGCTTTGCAGCAATAGGGACTGGAGCTATGCGGACAAATTTAGAAGACAAGTTCAAATTGGATGACTGAACAATCTGCGGCACAAGTGCAAATGTCTGTCCTTGAATGTTGACTAGGAGCTGTGCAATTTTAATATTCTCTTGTGCTGGTCCTTGTGAACTAGGGCTTGTATTTGACTCTTGTTTGATCTGTACAGGCTGAATTTGGAGCATGACAGGTATCCCTCCCTCCAGGGACAGTGCTCCATTTGAAACATCGCTACCTTCTGTTGAGCTACTTGATTGTTCGCTTTTACTTTCTTTTAAATTAACGCTAGGTGCCAGATGGTCTTTTTGCTGGACTGAAGCAACAGAAACTTGGCTGCAAGCTCTCAAGTCCTTGGTCTCACTTTTAGGCCCTTCCTTGAGATCCAACTCCATGTTTTCTTCCAGAAACTCCTCAATCTCCTCAAGTGTGGGCTGAAATGGTCCAGAATCTTCCATATCCACTGTGAACTCAGGCAATCTGAAATACTCCTCTTTCACTACTGGTTGAAGTCTCCTTTTGTCCCACCAAGAGGCAGGGGTGTTCCCCAAGGAAGCCTGGGACAGTAAATAGTCTAAAATGCTATCTTGACTTTCAGCGCTAGATGTGCTTCCATAGCTAGAGCTGAGAACCTGGGAATCGGGGCTGGAACAAGAGCAAAAGCTTGAAGAATCGCTGTCATCTTCTGACACCGGTGAGGGCAGCATCTGGTATGACCTCCCACCGGCCATCATGTCCCCAAAGTATCCAACAGGGGACCTTGTGGATGAAAAATATTCATCAGCCGGAAGCAAGTGATCCACCATTCCTGGATAATCTGTTACGGATATCCCACCAGCATATACCACACAGTGAAAGCTCAAGCGAAAGCCTGAATATAGGGAACAAAAATATTGACAGTCAGAAGTCAGGTTTAATCATTCATCTCCATGCACTAGACCTACAAATCTCTCCAGCTTAAATGAGAGTCAACTGCATGCAGTTTCACTGGGAACACATGTTGCTACATGCTTTCATATTGCTGTATCACCCCCAAAGGATTCTGAGTGCCTAGGCATTTTCCAAGATTGCACCACATGTTTGCAAAAGAATTCTTTCAGAAATCATTTCACAACTAAGTGTTCTGTAGATTTACAGTGCCTTCTCAGACTATTACTGGCAAGAGGAAATACATTTATAATCTTTTGTCTGACAAGGAAACAGAGAGCCAAAGAAGGGAATGGGGGGGAGAGGGGGGGGGAAGTGTTGAAATTTTTACCACCCAAAAAGCAAATAAAAATAAAGTTTATAACTTGTGTCCATGAAAGAACACTATCCTTTCCTTATCTTACAGCTTTCCATTGACTTTATTTTTCACTGTCTCAGTTATTCAAATATAGGCTAATCTGCATAATACAAGGACCAATCTGCTAGGAGCCAAAAATATTTATTGTGCTTCAGCATTTACTAGTAAGATTTTCCTTTCCAGATGTAATGAATCAGTTTACTAACGTCATCATCACCTGCATCACCCTTAATAGGACTGGCACCATGCTGGGCTAATTACCATGTGCTGGCAGGCCAGCTGATTGTGCGAGTGTCACCTCATTATTCCACGCTGCTTGTCACTTGAATACACAGCCTTGAGATGATCTAAACATGGTGCCAACTTCTAAACTGGGAACTTGGAACAAAGCTCTTGCGTAGGATTTCAACTCATTGTGACTACAGCAAGTGACTGCATTTTGTTATATTCTGAACACACGCAATTTAGTAGGGCCAATGGGCCTGATCCTTCAACCTCTTACTCACTTGAGTGTTCTGGTTGAAGTCAGTGGGACTACTCCCTTGAATAAAGAACGACAGGCTCCGACGCTTATTTTGCAACCCTCAGGCAAAACTCCCTCTGAAGCCAATGCAATTCCTGCAGCCCTCAATTTAGGCACAGCAGTCTTACTGGGAGTTTTGTCTGAGAAAACACTGCTTGACGGCTGCACGATATAACTCTTAAGGAGCTAAAATGCAGATGTGCAGACTTTGCTGAACACTGGCCGTGGGCCCTCCCCTCTGCTCAAGGTGACTGACTGAAAACTGAGCTGCCTATGTACATAATAAAACACGCCTCCCTGTGGAAGGTATGTGGATTGCAGCGATAGATATAATTTGATCGGTCAATAAGGGTGTGTTTGAGAGAGAGGGACAGGCAATCAGAAGGCATGTGACCGAGCATGAAGGAAATGCCAGTCAAGCTTGTTGCACACTGTCATTTTCCACAGGCTCTGCTGCTGTGCTGTGGACACTTTGCCATGAATAGTCAATAGTGTCCAGTTTTGGGAAGGGTGGGAGCTGTTTATTATTACTCCAAGGCACCTATGCTGCCTGATCTGCAATTTGCCTCTGTCTCTGTCTTCTAGGAGGAAATAAAAATAAATCTGTGCACTCAATCTATAGCTGATGCACTGCACAGCAACCTTCACATGCTCCATCAGCATCAGTCTATTAATGTTCCACAGGAAGTAAAAGTAAAAACACACTTCTTAAAGCTACAGCTTCCTTATTTATGTTTATGTGTGGAGGAGGGTGGTGGTGGTTCCAAAGAAAAGGGAATTAAAAGCCAAATTGTACATTTTCCTGGTTTGCATCCACTGTCAGTCATCTATTCTTGCAAACTGATAATGAAATACTCACCTGTGCTCAAAGTGAGGAAGTTCAAACAAAGGTTAGTGTCCATGTTCTGTGACCTTAGCATATAATCATTTCTAATAGTAAAAGTGATTGCCAGCATACCTGAAATATGCCTAGGGGACTACAAGTCAGATTTTGATCTCAGTGCAAATTCAATTACTCCAACAGAAGTCAGTGGAGCTGAGTTACTCCAGATGTAGACCAGTGAACAGAGATCAGAATCTGGCTCTGTGAATCTTTTATTGCTTCTAAAAAGGGTTCGCTGATTAATATCTTGCTTGCCTCAAAAGCAGAGATAACCACAGTTTAATGTGGGGCAGAGGGGAGGGCACATTCCCATATGGCAGATGGCTTCAAATCCTGCCTATTCCCATTTTGCTCCAGCTCTAACCTCTCACTGCTATTGCTGTGACCACAAAGATTTTGCACACAAGACATTTTTGCTGAAGAGAGATTGGTGTGTGTGTGTGTGTGTGTGTGTGTGAGAGAGAGAGAGAGAGAGAGAGAGAGAGAGAGAGAGAGAAAGTATCTGAGTGGCAGCAAACTTAGCATAGAAAAAACATTTTTTTTGTAAAGATTTCTTAAATGTCCATTTCAATCTGGAAGCCATTCTTGCTCCCACTGAAATAAATGACAAAATGGCCACACTACTGGCCAATCTAAAGAGCAAAAGACCCTCAGTACTGCGGCTAAAGATATGGCCCAAACCAGACATTTGCAAAGAAACAAGAACCAGTTAGGTTAATACAAAATAATGATTATATCATAAATCTAACATTTATACACAGCATTTGCATCCATAAGCATTCCAAAATGATTTATAAAAGAGGCTTCACTTCTTATGCCACTGAAATGCAGCCACCTCTGGGGTGAAATGTAGCAGCTGATTAACAGCGGACAGCAGCACTATGGTCTCCAAGTTGCAAAAGAGTTCTCAGCTTTGTTTTCTTGCATGTTATGCCAGAGTCACATTGTTCTGTTTAACAGTTGTCTGTTTAGTGACTGACTAACAAAAGGATAGAACACATATGCCCCTGTACAGCAATGTTTCAGATTAAAAATTACAAAAGTCAAGGCCTCAGTGGCTTGCTGAAAGATAGGCAGAAATTTAGCAGCCTGTTATTCCTGGTGATGTTTACAACATCGTAGGAAATACCATATCACACAACTGATAACACCAATAGCATATTTTGGCAATTGGTGCTTGCTCAGCAGCTGTGGATATGCTGACAACCATTTTCCAGGAAAATCGGTTTTCTCTGAGGATTAAAAATGCATGGAAGGGCCTGATCCTGCTCCAGCTGGTCCATAAAGCTGACTATAAAGTGACTTTGAAACACTGTGGGCCTTGAATTTCAAACAAATCAGGAGCCAGTTAACATATAAAGGCATTTTCAAAATAGAAAAATCCATTTTCTATTAGCAGCCTGGGAGCTGCATGACTGAAATTAGTTCTCCAAAGTAATTTTCCTGATAAGGAGCCTCTTTACAGTACATTTTACAATACAAAGTAGTCATGCCAACGATTACCTTTGCAAGGTGCATTAAAGAGAGGACGCATTTGATACAGCATGATCTGGTGAGAGCTACTTTTAAAGGGGTGGTATTAGGGGACAGCCTGAGCATTATTAGGAAGTTCAGAAAAATGCTTTCCAGCTCATCTGGTTTCCTCATTCCACAGCTTGCAAACGCCCCAGAACACTTTTAGAGAAAGCAGACTTTTGAAAAGCTCTTCCACTTTCCCCTGCCCTCTTACAGAGGGAACACTTTAATCTACAGCAACCCTGGCAGCAGCGATGGTGAAACAATAATCCGCTGCCTCGGTCGCAAGCACATGCTGATCACACATTCGTTCCAGGCATTTCTATGCTAATTTCTCATTAGTGAATGGAGCCCCGGCAACTGATGCGCTGCACAGGGCAGAAAGACGGGACAGGGGATGCTGCATTTCAGAGCCCCTCGGGCCTTGCCAGGCTGTGAGTCAGCCCAGGAGTTGGGGTTTCCTCTGCACTCATGGCTGAAGAGCCCGGCTGTGTTTAGCCCACCTGGCGGGGCTGGACATGGAGCGAAGGAACCCAGTGCATTGATGCTGCTCCCCCCCGGCCTCAGAGCTCAGCTTGACCGAGAGTAACCCTGCCTCGCCGCTTCGCCTGTCAACACTGCCATAACAGCCTGCGAGCAGAGCACACACAGCCTCCCCCTGCTCCGGCTCCGGCTCCCCGCCTTCCCGAGCAGCCGCGGCCGGCCTGCACGCAGAGGGGCACGCGTCTCCCGGCGCGCCCGGGGGAGATGGGCTTGAGCTTTGCAGCCCGATGCTCTCCTGCGGGGCGGTGGGGGGAGGAGGGATGTCTCCCTTTTGCTCCTGTCCGGAGCCACAAAACAACCGACCTCTGCAATGCACATCCATGCATCGCAACGCCGGGTGCGGCCACCCCCGTGCAAAGAAAAGAGTGTGTGTGTGTGTGTGTGTGTGGAGGGGGGGGGGTTAACCATCTACTCGTTATCCTTCTGCAAAGAGCTAATCCTCCCCCGCGTCCGGGGGGAGGGGTACTGGGGGGGGGGTAAAGTCTCTAATCCCGGGGCGCATTGCATCGGCAGAGAGCGGGCAGGCTCCTGGCTTGGAGAGCGGGGAGATTCCTGGCCCCGTCTTGCAAATGAAGCGGGTCTCAGCGCTGGGCAGAGGAAACTGTCCCTTCGCTGCCAGTCCGGCCAACATATGGTTATAAACATCGCCCCGGCTCCTGCCCGACCAGCTCCCCCGCCCCCTGCAGAAAGAGGAGCCCCTGTAAATACAGCCAGCTTGTGGGGTCTTATCTTCCAGAGTCCATTGGGACTGGATGGCACGAAAGACCCCCCACACACACACACATACCCCCCTTTGCACGGCACTTCAACAAATCCGGATCTCCTCCTTCCCCCTCCCCAACGCTGATCCCAGAGCTTCTCTCCAGCATGTTCCCATCCCCCCTCCCGGGGATCCCCCCCCCCCCAGCAATCCCGGAGATTTCCTTCCCTTGGCCCCAGCGGGCAGCGCTAACCCGGCCAGCCCCCTGCAGGCAGGGTGCTCTACGCTACGGGACACAGAGCCCCCCGCCCTGCGGGTGAGAAACGTGTCTTTACTCCTTACCTGAACTTTTCTGGACAGACACACACACCAAAAAAAAAAAAAAAAAAACCCCAAAAAACAACAACACCCCAAATCAAAGACAAGCAAGATCCCAGCGGGCAGCAGCTCCTCGTGGCATTCAGAACCAGCGCGACACCCCCAGCAAGCACCAAACCCCACAGCGCTCCTAGGGAGGGGGCCTGGCCGCTTGTTAAATGTTGTCCCTGAAAACTGCCTAGAGGCAGGGTCCCGATTTGCAGCGGCGCTGGCCGGGCCGCTGATGTGTCCTTTAGCTCCGCTAGTGTAGTACTATATCCCCGTCACATGACTGCCAGGGAGGTTATCACAGTGAAGGCAGAGGAAGGCTTGAAAGAGGCTCGACCAAAGCCGCTCACGTCATTGGCCAAAGCAGAAGCAAAGGGGCTGGCCGGAGGGTTTTGTCGTCAATGGAAGCATCTGGCACCCTATCCTCCCTCTGCCTCTGCCTTCCCCTCCGCCTCCTCTCCCTCTGCTGCCTGCCCCCTCCTGGTCTGTATCACAGCCAACCGAGCGCAGGCAGGAATGTTTGGCTGCTTCCCTGCTTACTCGATCTCTGAGCCATGACAGTGAAGATCATGTGAATGAGAGGTAGAAATACCTTGGGGATATTTTGAGGACTGCAAAACCTGGAAGAAACCACACAGAGAATTTTTCTCTAACAGGGCCAGGTGTGGGTTGGTAGGGGCGGGTAGGAGGCTGGTTTGAGTGCAGATTGTAGTCTGCAAAGCTGGAAATGTTCAAGACGCATGCCAGTCTTATGAATGGATCTGAATCCATTTCCCTTTCTTTAAGTCTTGCCTTGTCTGTCCTTGGCTTCTGACCGGCCCTGGGATACTGCTGTTCGGAAAGGATGCAGGACAAACGTACTGAACCGGGGCGGGGGGGGGGGGGGGTCGGGGAGGAGACCTGGATTTGTGCTGGAAATGGCCCAACTTGATTATCATACACATTGTAAGGAGAGGTTTCAGAGGAACAGCCGTGTTAGTCTGTATTCGCAAAAAGAAAAGGAGTTCTTGTGGCACCTTAGAGACTAACCAATTTATTTGAGCATGAGCTTTCGTGAGCTACAGCTCACTTCATCAGATGTATACCGTGGAAACTGCAGCAGACTTTATATACACACAGAGAATATGAAACAATACCTCCTCCCACCCCACTGTCCTGCTGGTAATAGCTTATCTAAAGTGATCATCAGGTGGGCCATTTCCAGCACAAATCCTTCCTGGATTTGTGCTGGAAATGGCCCACCTGATGATCACTTTAGATAAGCTATTACCAGCAGGACAGTGGGGTGGGAGGAGGTATTGTTTCATATTCTCTGTGTGTATATAAAGTCTGCTGCAGTTTCCACGGTATACATCTGATGAAGTGAGCTGTAGCTCACGAAAGCTCATGCTCAAATAAATTGGTTAGTCTCTAAGGTGCCACAAGAACTCCTTTTCTTATTGTAAGGAGAGTGATCACTTTAGATAAGCTATTACCATCAGGAGAGTGGGGTGGAGGGAGGTATTTTTTCATGCTTTGTGTGTATTAAAAGATCTTCTACACTTTCCACAGTATGCATCTGATGAAGTGAGCTGTAGCTCGCAAAAGCTTATGCTCAAATAAATTGGTTAGTCTCTAAGGTGCCACAAGTACTCCTTTTCTTTTTGTGACTACAGACTAATGCGGCTGTTACTCTGAAACCTTCTTTTAAACAAAAGGTTGATCCATTTTTAGCAGAGCTGTTTGAACACCAGGAAAAGGACCATGTCAAAATTTAAAGTGATTAAAATGATTAAAGTGATCACAGCAACAAATACTCTCAATGATTTGCATTAAATATCACCAACATCAAAGCCCATCTGTGTTGTTCTGTACTGTGGAAACACATACCGAGGGACAGTCACTGCCCCCAATGAGCTTATCTCCTAAATAGACAAGGCAGGAAAAAGGATCTGAGAAAGGAAGCTTGATTATCCCCATTTGACAGATGGGGAAACCAAGGCACAGAGAGATTAAGCACTTGCTCAAGGTGGAACAGAAAGTCTGTAGCAGAGGTAGGATTTAAAGCCAGATCTCCTGAGTCCCATCCTTAACTACTAGACCATCCTTCCACTCAATTGGTTTTAAGTGCCTGCCAACAATCTGCTCAGCCTTGTGTCAGGCACACAATACAGACAGTCCCTACTTTGAAGAGGTTATAGCTTAAATAAGACAACACAGAACAGAGAGAACACAGTGGGAAATTGCTCTTGCTGACTCATTTCTTGGGAGCATCTCAGAAGGAGCTTTTAGGTAGAATATGAATGGACAGAGGATAAATGCAGTGATTCTCAAACTTTTGTACTGGTGACCCCTTTCACATAGCAAACCTCTGAGTGCGACCCCCTTTATACATTTAAAACACTTTTTAATATATTTAACACCATGATAAATGATGGAGGCAAATCGGGGTTTGGGGTGGAGGCTGACAGCTCGTGACTCCCCATGTAATAACCTCGTGACCCCCCTCAGGGGTCCCAACCCCCCATTTGAGAACCCCTGAGATAATGGCTTGGTGCACTATAGCTGGAAGGGGTGGGGTAGAAGAAGACATGGAGCCAGCTGTATGTAGGTGTGGGTGGATGGATAGTGCACAGAGGCTGGCATCATTAGGGGTAAGGTGACAAGATGTCCTGATTTTATAGGGACAGTTCCGATTTTTGGGTCTTTTTCTTATATAGGCTCCTATTACCCCCCACCCCCATCCCGATTTTTCAAACTATCTGTCTGGTCACCCTAATTAGGGGAGAGGAGAGGGCAAGGTATGATGTGATAAAAAATCAGGTCAGAGAGGAGTGGAGCTATGCAGAACCTAGAAGCCGAAGATGAAGACAAGATGATTAAACTTGTAGCGAAAACAGGTGGGGAGGGGAGCTAGAAGGATTCAAAGGAAGGGTTTTAAAGAATACTTATTTTTTGTTACTAATACTATTATAATACATTATTAAAAGTGAAAAAAAAATCATTTCTACATCATTTATGGTCAGTTTTCCTTTTGGTGGGTTTGGTTTGGTTTAGTTTTTTTTTGCATGTCACCAGTTTACCCAGTGAAACTAGACTGAACCCTCATTTTTCAGCTGTTCTGCACACATATGCCTGTGTTTCAGTTTCCAACACTGAAGGGGATGGTTTAAATTAAAAAAAGAAAAGTATTTTCATTAAAAAAAAAGAATACACACACTTACATTTACATATTTCAATGAATACTATGTACACACACACACACTTGATATATGTTAGATATATCAAGGGCTAAATGCAATGGAGTTACACCAGCCAAGAATTTGGCCTCAAATATTTTTATCCACATTAGACTTTGCAAATTCCCTGCTTTATTGTTTACTTTAAATTCAAGTGCTCTATTGCTTGAGAATGTGTGAAATACACCACCATGCAAAGGGACCAGGAACAATGCTTATGCACCTAAGTTCCAAGACCTCAAAATAGGATCTAAATGGGACTTAAATAGGACTCCTAATGTGGCCCCCATTGCACAAATGTGAAATTCACACACACTGTAATTAATATCTTAGGAACAACCAAAATCAAGCGTTTTTTATCAGAGCCTTAATTTTAGCAACATTATGACTGAAATATAAGGATGGGGACGCATTAGAGGACTCTCAACACTGTCCTCCACATGCTAAAGATGATTCCTTTATATTTTATTTTATTTTAATTTATTAACAGATCCATTCTTTTATAACAGCAATCTTATAAACCTTATTCTACAACATTAATAGAAATACACTTTCTATATACCCACAAACACAATTATAAATTGGCCTATGGAAGTACCTAAAGTTGTATTGACGAGACCTGCTACCAGTCGCTTTCTTCAACTTAGTGCTACTGAGGTTGATGTTTTTCTACTCTTTGTCTTCCTTTTCTGTCTTGTCAGTTGGTAGTGTTAGTTAAAGTCTTTCATTATCTCATGTTTAGGTCCAAACTTTTCTTTTTCTTATATTTAAATACACAATCTGTTACTTAGTTGTCCTATCAAACCTCTTTTCTCCTATCTATTTTCCTTACTTTAAGATATTGATTTTGAGTTTAATTTTGACTATTGTTGAAGGGGTTTCTTGCTTCCTTAGGACTAAGAAAAAGTTTTCAAGCTATCAGGTTTGATGGCGGGCGATGACCCTCTTCCAGCAAATTTCAGAAAGTTCCACCAGCCTTCTCAGTAGTTATATTTTTTGCTTGTCTCCAGTAGATCTCTGACTCGATAAGTTAGTTTTTCTAGTTCCAGAATTTCCCACACTTTTTGATGCCAGTTAAAAGTTTTAGGTGAGTTACTCCTCTTCCACCACCTTGCTCAAATAAATTGGTTAGTCTCTAAGGTGCCACAAGTACTCCTTCACCTTGCTACAGTAATTCTAGCAGCAGCTAGGAGATGAGTGATCAGTTCTTTATGACTTTTTTTTAAAAAGGGAAGAAAGAGGATCCTGGGAACTACAGGCCAGTCAGCCTCACCTCAGTCTCTGGAAAAATCATGGAGCAGGTCCTCAAGGAATCAATTCTGAAGCACTTAGAGGAGAGGAAAGTGATCAGGAACAGTCAGCATGGATTCACCAAGGGCAAGTCATGCCTGACTAATCTAATTGCCTTCTATGATGAGATAACTGGCTCTGTGGATGAAGGGAAAGCAGTGGACATGTTGTTCCTTGACTTTAGCAAAGCTTTTGACATGGTCTCCCACAGTATTCTTGCCAGCAAGTTAAAGAAGTATGGGCTGGATGAATGGACTATAAGGTGGATAGAAAGCTGGCTAGATTGTCGGGCTCAACAGGTAGTGATCAATGGCTCCATGTCTAGTCGGCAGCTGGTATCAAGTGGAGTGCCCCAGGGGTCGGTCCTGGGGCCGGTTTTGTTCAATATCTTCATAAATGATCTGGAGGATGGTGTGGATTGCACCCTCAGCAAGTTTGCAGATGACACTAAATTGGGAGGAGTGGTAGATACGCTGGAGGGTAGGGATAGGATACAGAGGGACCTAGACAAATTGGAGGATTGGGCCAAAAGAAATCTGATGAGGTTCAACGAGGACAAGTGCAGAGTCCTGCACTTAGGACGGAAGAATCCAATGCACCGCTACAGACTAGGGACTGAATGGCTAGGCAGCAGTTCTGCAGAAAAGGACCTAGGGGTTACAGTGGACGAGAAGCTGGATATGAGTCAACAGTGTGCCCTTGTTGCCAAGAAGGCCAATGGCATTTTGGGATGTATAAGTAGCATTGCCAGCAGATGGAGGGACGTGATCGTTCCCCTCTA